CTCGTATATATAGTATATATATAGTATATAGTATAGCTATATAATACACATTATATATTATATATATCTTTTTTTTTTTGTCACTCGTCCGGTGCTCACTCTCGCTCTTCACACCGCCATACCAACTTCACCTGCGTAACTCATATCAGCCGTTAGATGTAATGTATGTTTACGTCTGGCAAGATATTTCCACGCCGCCCCGCCCTCGTCAGCGACCACGGATCGGCTCGCATGCGAGTCGCTCTGAAGGAGCCACGGAACGGACGATGTGCCTCGACTGTCTCTGAAATCACAGCACCGTTCAAACATTCATGGCATTCTAGCATCGGCGCACGCGCCCGCCCCGTCTGTGTGCCCATTTTGTGTTGGATTTTGTGTGTGAATTTATTGGACAAACAATTCGTTAGAGCGTTGGGATGGTCGCCACAACTCGTAGATCCTCGTCATTTCCGTTAAAACTTCTTGCGAAAGATCGCCCATCTTCTGAACGACAAATGAAATTTCGTTGAGGGACAGTGCTTCTGTTAACTGGCGCTGCGGCTGACTGTGATAGACCAGCGCGCATTACAGAGCCGCAGTACGCTTATATAGACAGGCGCCCTGCTCGCCCGAAGAACGACCTTCCCGGTAAAAAAAACTTCGTGCCACTGTTCGACAAACGTCGGCGAAGGGCGACTATTGATGAAGGTTTCACAATGTCGTCGAGAGCGCTCGAACTGTACCTACCGACGGGGCGGCCGCACTTGCAATATTTGCGTATCAAGGAGCGCCTCCTATGGGCAGTCGTGTTATCGTTGAACGTATATAAATCCTTTAGAGTATATAGCGGCTTGCCCGAGAGACAAGCTGCGATCATATTCCGCGTTTACTTTAACACAGGACATCAAAACTTTCTAGTGTTGTCTCGTATTGGTACGGGTATTTAACATTGCCTAACGACAAAAATGAATCATGACAAAATTGTCTCTCGTCAAATTGTCAATTTGTCAAATTGTCATGCAAATTTGTCATTGCAAATTGTCATTATTCTCCCTGCCTAACGAGCATTCCGACATGAGCATACTGACCTTTACCAGATGAGCTTTTGACATGGTTCGTAAATAAAATATTTCAAGAAAATAAAATGTTTTCCCTACCTAAATACCCTATTTTTTTCCGGCATGTAACGGTAACCACACATATATTTTGTTTTGGCCTAATCATAGCGTCCTCACCATCACAGCATACTGAGCAACAGAGGCCCATTGTCAGAAACAAAATTGGTCTTAACATTAGTCTTAACATTAACTTTTTCTCTTAGACCGTTGACAGAAACGCTGCGAAGTTACGAGAATGAAAAAACGTAGCAGATTTCCTCATAACAATACGAAACAAAGTGATGTCGACGGTCTAGGAGAAATTAGTAATGTTAAGACTAATGTTAAGACTAATTTTGTTTCTGACAACGGGCCCCAGGAACGTGATATCCACATTTTGAGGTGCACTCGTGTATTGCTTCAGCACCATCTGGGTAAGGGATGTAAAATCATACCTACACATATCAGCGGTTTTCATTACATAACCACATTAAACTGTTCTGTGAAGGTACACAGCGGGACGGTCTCCGATCAAGTTCCAACATGTACCGATCTCAATCACTCACACAGTTAATTGATCGTCACACGATGAATAACTAACGTGTGATTCCGCACGACTGCGAGGTCCAGACTTCACAAGTTCTTCTTCGTCTCCGCGCTGTCGCCGTCGCCAGCGTTCGCTTCTTTCGCCCGCTGGGCTTCTCTCATTTGCTGCTTCAGTTTAGCACTCTTTACGTGAATGAGCAAACCGATCGTCTGATACAACCACAGAATCTGTAACGAAATCATCGAGGTAATAGAATGCAACCACAATCCGCCTTCGAGAAAATCGTGTTAGGAACGGAAACAGTTTGAAAGAGCAAACTATATGAAAACCGAGGATTTAGTTAACAGTCACAGCGGTACGATTTTCTGCCCCTAGATGGCAGAGTTGCTCAGTGAGTCACTTCTTTGCCCGTATGTACTTACTATGAGTATCAGCGAGTTGAGAAGCAGAGGAACAGAAAACACCAATGAGATGAATATGCCCTTGCTGTCAAAGTACTGTTGCCGTGAAAACGACCTGCAAACAGTAACAAATAAATAAATAAATAAA